CTCTTCATATCAAGAACCCCCTTCACTTCAGAGTCCCCCCCCCCTTCATATCAGGAGCCTCCTTCACTTCAAAATCCACCCTTCACATCAGGAGCGCTGCCAGGGTACCATGCAAAGCCGTCCTCACACCACATACAGGTACACACGCAGGATGACCAAAATTAATATGACCACACTGGATGAGGTTATGCACAAGTTTATTTGTTACACAGCAAACAAAACTACAAACCCCCTCAAACCCCCACTGGTTTAGCAGTGAAGTAACAAAACCATGGATGGACCAAACACACACCTACAGCCAGGGGGGGCAGCAACACGGAGGGGTAACAGGACTGCAGATAGACAGTAGGCCTCAGGATACAGGAAGAGTGGTCAGGAAACAAGCCGGGTCGTTAACAGGAAGGCAGCGCGGTACAGGAACAGGATTCAAGGAGAGTGGTCGGGTAACAAGCCGGGTCAGTGACAGGTTTGCAGATAGGAAGCAGGGTTCAGGTAGCAGGGTTCAGGTAGCAGGGTTCAGGTAGCAGGGTTCAGGTTCCAAGGCACAGGACATGGGAGTCCGTCAGGTGCCGGCGACACAATACTGAGCCAGCTTCCTGACTGCAGGGAGGGCCTAACTACCTTCCCGGGAAGCACCAGGTGATGGGATGGTCAGTCACAGCCTGGGCACACCCACAGGTGAGTACTGGAGCTGCAGGTCCCAGCACCACCCAGTGGTGGTCTGGTTCCTGGCAGTTCCTGGCTGCTGGAGACACCCGCAGGCAAGCACAGGAACTGCAGGACCTGGCTCCAGCGCCACCTGGGGGGGTGCTCTGGATCCTGACAAGCATCCTCTTCATATCAGAGCCCATTTCACTTCAGGGTCCCTCCCTTCATAATAGAAGCCCCTATTCATATCAGGAGCATCCCTTCACTTCAGAATAAAAATATGAAGGCACCCTTGACAAAGCCAGAAGGCACCCCAACTGATGCAGAATGCACTTTATCACCATTCATCTGTAAAAACAGAAAAGCCCGTTTCCCACACCACTGCCTGTACGAGGGCATGGTACAGAAAGGGCAACACCTTGATGAAGAAGGTTATGCTTGCTTATGAGACAAACCTTGCCCTCTTCCATTTCTATCAAGGTCCTGCCAGTTGGGAAGGGGGGGGGTGTCTGGTTTTGCAGTTTAGTGGTTGCATTTTGAGGATTATATAAGCTCCATTTACAAAAAAAAAAGAATTGAATGCACACAGACGAACACTTATCCCCTTAATGCTTTGCAAATATCTAATGACTCAGGGTAATAGTGTATACATATAACAAAATAAAGGCTGAAAAGAATCTCAATGTAAGTGATGTGACACGCTGCAAATATGTTGTGCAGAACCTCTGAAGGCCACTTAAATATCGATTTTACTTAAATAGGGATGACAGGTAAATTAGACAATCCCTCAAATGTAGAACATTAACAGTACACAGAACACTGACAGCCTTCCCTCAGATCTCTACGTTGCATGGATACGACACATAATTCTACACTGTTGCCAAGGCTCAAAAACAAGCGCACTCAACATTTACGGTATACAGTTAAATATGGAAGACTGAGCACAGCTGCAGCAAAGTATTCCATTCTCTTTGGACATAAATGAATGGCAAATCTAATAGAAGAATTTCCAGGTACATGAGTAATAGTGAGATGGTGTGTTATACTTTGCCTTTGCCTTATTAATAGGGAAGCTGTACTGTGTTTTTATTAAAGTGGAAGTAAAGGCATGTAGAACAAAATGGACGATCAGCAGACTTTATATGATGGGGGTGTAATTCTCTTCTGCCATAAAAGCTTATTTCTACCATTCAGCATTTTTATTATGTACTTTGAGCCGTGCATGCGCAGTTTGGTGCTCAGACCCAGGATGGCAAGATGAAGTAACTGCTATGCACTTGCACAGCAGTTAAGTCATTGGGGGAAGGTCAATCAATACTGATAACCTGTAAGATGGAAGCACTGGCGGGCAGATATAGTAAGTCTGCCATACTGTAATGTGCTACTGTAATATGCTATGCACTCTAGCACGTTGTGGCTAAAAGCTCCAGCAAGCAAAACAAATGGCAAACACACTCATCAACTCATAACCAGCTTTAAAGCAAGGTTTAAACAATAAAACAGCAAAAAGTTTCCCAGCACACTCAGCAGCCAACACGCAAAAAAATCTGCCTAACCGCTAAGGTTAAAAACAGAGGATTTAGATACATGTCTTCTGCAGAATATGTGAAAGCTGCAGACAGTGGCGTAATGGCACGGAGCTGAGAAAGGGGGGTGCCGGCCAAAAATTGCACTTTTGGGTAAATACCGAAAGTGTAATTTTCCTCCCGATACAAGGGTGCATCCCTGATTTCTTTCCTCCCCGCTTGGCGCTGCTCTGTGCCCAAGCGAGGAGAGAAAGTGACAGCGGGACGAGCGCTGTGAGCGGCCGGTGTCTCTCCTCCCAAACCGCTCAGCCGCCTATCACAGTCCGGCAGAGCGGTTTAGGGGCGGAGACAGCCCACACTGTCACAGGAGGCCGGGCTCTCCTCCCTGCACCGCTCGCTCAGCCTCCTGTGACAGTGTGTGTCAGAGAGGACAGCAAGATACAAACACTCAGCGATCAGTGATCACTGAGTGTTTGTACATAATTGAGGACCTGGTATGTATACTATATCCTCAATTATGAATGAATGGGAGTGATCTACATCTCCTCCTGTTCATTCATAGTTGTGGTTATAGTAAACATACTATGTTATCAATGAACAGGAACACTCATAAAGGGTTCCTGTTCATTGATAACAGGGGATACAGAAAAAGAGATTAAGGACGTTGTGTCCTCAATCTCTTTTTCTTTTTAAAAGGGAAATATCAGGGGTCTGTGTTAGATTCCTAATATTTCCCCCAAAGCCCCTAAAAGTAAAGTAAATAATAAAAATATTTAACAAAAAATGAATTAATAAATGCAAAGAAATATAAAAAAAAATACAAAGTTTATAAAACATAAATAAAAATGAAAAAACCAATGTGTGGGGGGTGCGGGGTACAGTTCCAGTGGATGTTTATATAATGGGGGCGAACAAAACATTTCTGCCCCAGGCGCCCATAATTTTGGTTACGCCACTGGCTGCACTGCCTTGTCAAGGCCCCTCTGTGTAGTGCGGTCCTAACTCTAACCTGTGAGTGTCTCCATCTTGGAGCACATGTAGCAAAAGATAACATTGGGTGCAGGTTCGCCAGGAGGCAGCCCAACTTCCTTATAGGCATAGGGACACACAAGGGACCAAGCACATCATGTTTTGTTTTGCTTGACTGATTTGGTGCAGTGACACACTGGGGGTCTCAGCTGCCGTTGTGATGTGCGGGGTCCCTTGTGTGTCCCTTTTTTGCTACATGTGCTCCAAGATGGAGACAGTCATAGGTTAGAGTTAGGACTTCACTACACAGAGGTGCCTTGTCGAGGCAGCGTAGCTTTCACATATTCTGCAGTGTATCTAAAACCTCTGTTTTTAAACTTAGCGGTTAGACAGGTTTTTTTTGCATGCTGTCTGGTGAGTGTGCTTGGAAACGTTTTGCTGTAAAAGCTCTAGCACCCCTTTTTTTTCCAGAAAAAAACTTTACTTCTGCTTTTGCACAAGTCTTTTTTTTTTCTTTTATTTCCTCCCTAATACCTGCTGAAAT